TCATGACGCTCCCAAACAGGAAAAAAACACATGTGAAGATAGCGACGCATCCCCAAGGTCACCATCGGTACGACACGTCCGGAAAGTAGGTGAGTTGGTGGCTCTCGCCAAACACGGCTTAGTAACATACGATCAGCGTAGTGGGCCTGAGATTGTTCACGACTGGAACACCGCCACTGGCTGTACGGAAAAAACAATTGAACGACTATATTTGACCATTTAGTCATCCTATATATTCACGCAGAAGCTCTGACAATACAGCCGTGTCCCGAGTTCTCTGTCTTCTCATTATCACGTAGTCTGGTAGGCTCAGTGCAGGCGTAACCAATAGACGGCCACCCACGACACAACAGATTTAATGATGAGTGGCGCTGAATTCCTGTCTGAGTGCGAGCTAATCACACCGCGGACCAGCCGCTTGTGGCCGAACGACCAACTGTTGAAACTACTAGTCGGAAGTTGGCGACTCCTTGGGGTTTCGTGATGATTGTCCAAAAGGATGAAAAATCAAATTGATCTGCAGATGAGTGTATTTCTCAAAGACAGTCCAATTTAGGTTCAAGTAGAACATAAGGTTGACGGAAACTCGGGGACTGCACCTACCTGATGAGCCCCAAGAAGGGCGAAACCGGTGGTGGGCTGTCCAAGAATTTTCAGCAATCTTGTGAGTAGTTTCCTTTATGAAGGATTAAACAACTTTTCAACCTAGACAGGCTTCATCTACACAACGATACATTCAGCAGGCATTAGGGATCATATGGGTCCAAGATCCGGCGTTTCTATAGCTTCAGGGATAGTTAATTTAAAACGTCTTTGAAATCTTGGAAGTTTTCTTATCGATGGATTGATCGTAAACTTCAATAGATTTTCCCATCGGTTTGATATCTGTTTAGGGATAAAATATGTTCAATTTGACTTCCCCTTCCCTTGAAAGCGTTATATTCACATAACGATGATTCGTTGCGACCTACCCCTAGGAATGCATCTTTGCTTTTGATGAGCTTCTTATCCAGCGCTGGGGGAACTGCTTTTTCCTTGTGGCATTCATAAGCAGATAAGGTCTAACCCCGGGCATATCTTGTCAGAGGTAAAATAACGAAAGAAGTGGATATGTGGGATAAGTTGTAACCCGTATGAAGTCAGACTGTCGAGTCAATCTTTGAATCCGCTCGGCACCGAGGACGGTTCTACTAATTTCAGTGAGGAAAATCACAAGGTTCAGGCTAGGGGTGGAAGTCTTTCAGACAAGCTTCATTAGTATTGGATGGGACGATGCTAATTTGATGGTAAGTCGATAGATAACCATGGAGTTTCGATGTGTCGATGATGACGAATTCGGTGAAGGTCGCAGTGTGGCGTTAGATGAGGCCGTAACGAAAGCGATGTAAAAACTTTCTGTCACCCACACGCGTTCACTAAGTTGAAGAAAGAAACTGATGAAGATGAGAGAGGGAAGAAGCCTAGACTCTGACCA